CTGAGGACTGGCTCTGCAGGGACAGGGAACTTTTAAGTCCCCAGTCTCTCCTAAACAGAAATCGTTTTCTACGGGAAGCCCGGCCTCGAAGAGGGAAAGGTCAGTTGGTGACAGAGGGGACAGCCGTGGGTTCATCCAGAGCCCTCCCAGCCAGACTCAGCATCCTGGTGAAGAGCCGTGAACCTCCCCCTGGAGGTGTGGGACATTGGACCCCAGCTCCCCTTCCAGTGTCACCTGCAGGAGAGGGAAGAGAGGTGCTGCGGGCTCCTTAGGGGACAGTGAGAGGGGAGATGATTCAGCCAGTGGTGCGCCACTGCCCGCCAGCGAGTCCCTGTGTGGTCGCCCCCGCAGGGCTGATGGGCTATTTAGTCAACTATTTGGGGAACTCCATGCCTGTGTAAAAATAACACAATTTAAGGCCCGGTCACAAAGATAGTGGCTTTGTGGATGCTGCACAGAGGATGGGGCCTCCCCTCAGGTCTAGGTCACCATGGGACTCTCCGGGTGATCTGAAGAGGTTTCCTGTGCAGGGTGAGCACCCATCTGCCGTTTTGCAAGGCTGCCCCACCACCCTGCTTCTCCCTCCTCTGTCCATCATTTATTCAAACGAGGAAGACAGTAACCCCTTACTCAGCTGCAGCATGTGCAGGAACCAGGGTGCGAGGCTGCAGAGATGGACGGGGCTGATGGAGCTGCAGAAAACAGCAATCAGCGAGGTCTGCTGGCCTCCACACCAGTCACAGTGGGCATCAGCTTCTCGTCCGGCCTGAAGGCCTTAGTTCAGAAAAACCAAGGAAATGGTTCACCCACTACTAGATTCACCCACTACTTCCCAACACCCTGCTTTGTCCTCCATAAACATGGCCTAAAAACCAGATTATCTGAGAGTTTCTCCAAAGTTTGAAAGACCATCCATCCCTGGGGGAGTTCTCGAGCCCACATGTATTTCTGGGGACCCACAGACCAATGTAGAGAAGCTGGAGAAGGGGAGTCCTGCGGACAGGTGATTGTCTGACCATTCAGTCACCCTGCCAAGAGGTCACCACTGTCCATTCCCTGCACCCCAGATAGCTGGTGCTTGAAGCCGTAGGACTGAACTGGAAGCGGGTGTGACCTGGTACCCTGAGGGCTGAGTATGTTGTCAGCTCCGTGTTCGAGCAGCAGAAGCAGATCAGACACGTCGGAGGTAGCAGTACACGTTGGCCAATCAGACCTCAGAGAGAGCAGCCAGGGTGTGAAATGCGGAGGCTCGAGGGTCTGGACGAGACCCTCAGTCTGCTCACAAAGATAAACTCAACCAAGGCAGGCAATTTTGAAAAGAATGATTTGTAATCAGAGTCTATAGGCGGAGGGTTTAATAAACAGCTCCTTGTGGCACGCGGCTTCTCAGAGGCGCTAATGTGCATTGTGAACAGGAGGGTGTGATGGTACATTTACCCGGAACACTTTGGCTCATGGAGTCTCGTTAGGGGAGATCTCTGTGGAGGCCGGGAATCAGCAAATTGCTGACTCCTCCACCCCTCAGCTTTCTCATTAATGAAAAGGAAGATAATAATAGTGGCAGCCCTGGCCAGTGTGGCTCAGTTGGTTGGAGTGTCGTTCCATACACTGAGAGGCGGTGGGTTCAATTCCCAATCAGGACACATACCTAAGGGTGGGTTCAGTTCCTGTTGGGATGCGTGTGGGAAGCAACCTATCGATATTTCTCTCTCTAGCTCTCTCTCTCAAATCAATAAAAACACATGTCCTTTGGTGAGGCTTAAAAATATTAATAATAATAATAATAGTGGCTAACTCATAAGGTTGTCAGGATTATTCATTGAGGTAATACATGAAAATCGATGCTTTCCACATCTTTCTTGAGACATAATCAATATGCAATAACTATTGGCTGTGATGAGCACTGTGCCTGTCATGGACATGGAGCACTATGAGAAATGTGCTCTCACCAGCTGCTGACTGTACCTAAGTCACCCCAAGGGCTGTGAGCGGGGGGAGGGGCAGTGTTCTCCAAGAAATGCGGGAGATGTGGATAGAGCTCACTCCCCTGCTGGGCTCCAACTCCAGAAATGTTGTGTGTGAAGCTTCTGCCTGAGATTTGATTTAATTTGGGCTAAAAGAGAGGTAGGCTTCTGCTGCTTAAACAAGCCATGTGTTCTTAAGCGATTTAAACGAAAAGAACCAGTAAGAGATCTGTGCTCCGGGGAATTAATCCACTACTTCCTTGGGGATGAGGACATTGGCCCTCACTACATTTTGTTCCATCTCACAACTCACAACTGTTCACCACGTTGCCTTGGGGGTCTGCTCAGCGTCCCTTTGGGCCCACAGATTTTACCGAAATGGTGTGAGGCTCTCTGTGATGAACCAGATGTTGGGATCTGGGCAGCATCGGTAATGCACAGTGAGGCCCAGAGGGTATGCCCACTGAGCACAGTGGACCATTGAGTTATACAATAATGTGTTTTCATCAAAAGCACAGGTGACAAGAGGAATCCGTTCTCTGAAACACGCATGTGATCCCACACCCACCCTCCAGGGGGCACTCTCTAGGCTGCGCCCACCCTGACACCATGCACAGGGATGCTGCGAAATGCCAGCAAGGCAATGACAGCCCGGTGCATGAGCGGCTCCGTCTCTGCAGAGTTATTCCCCGTCTCCACACTCAAGGGCAGACTGTCAGCCCACTGCCCTAGGACCCAGACGCACGGCCCCCATTACCATCCTGATGCACATCACAGTGAGGCAGGGCACACAAGACACACTCAGGAGCATGTCCCCAGAACCTTGACGGGCTCCGGGGAAGGCTGTTCCGCTGAGCTCTCTGTGTGAATCTTTCAAGTTTCAAGCACAGCCCTCCCCGTGCTGCAGCTTTCTGCACAGTCACGCTCAAAGGCAGCTCCCGGCAACACCTTTGTTCCTTTCGAAGGAACAGACTTCCTCAGGTGTGACAGTGCTCAGGACATGGTCATTTCTCACCAACTGACCGGCTAGGGAATCTTTCACATCTACTTGTCATTGGGACATTCCAGTGACCCAAAGAGACAGTTAATACCCATTTTACAAATTCCCAACAGGAGAAGTGTGCGTGGTTCAGTAAAGAGTGGTCCTTCGAGTCAGGATATATCTGGGTGCTAGTGTCAGGACCCCAGGAGTGGCCCACGGGACCAGCGAGCGTGCAGTGGGCTGCCAGGGGAGCCAGAGTCCACCAGCACCATGGTGGCTGCCTTTCTCTGGTCTACCCTCCTTTCTCCTGTGAGCCAGGAATAGTGGCCCGAAGGTCCCAGACTCCCTTGTGGGTCCAGGGTGTCAGCTCCAGACTCACAACCTCACTTCAAATTCAGCAGGAAGGGGGCTGCTTTTGCTCAGCGGAGAAATAAATCCCGGGTCCCACTCTCAGCCTGAATGGAGCCAGGTGCCCACCTGCAGAACAGCCCCCAGGTGAGGAGCACGGCCTCACGGGCATGGGCCCCTTGTCACACAGCACCCCCACTTAGAAAGGCCCGCCCTTGGCTTAACGCTCTGTGGTTGCCACCTTGAAACTCAATGATTTTTTAACAAGGAACCCCGCGTTTTCATTTGGCAGTGGCCTCAGCAAATCCTGTGATCCGTTCCGGCCAGGAGGGTGGGATTGTGCTGAAGAGGGGGCCGACCTCACCCAACCAGTAGGCCAAGAGTCAGAACTGTGTATCCCCAAGGACATGAGGGTTCTGCTGGCTGGAAGGAAATGGGTGCTGAATGGCAGAGACAATATACCCCCACTAACGTGAGGGAGACCATATATGATCCTTGGATGTGAGCTCTCTCCTCTGTGTTAGCCTGTTTTAGCAGATGTCTATAAGTGATTAATATCTTTATGCCTGATGGTTAGATGTAAAAGACACGATGTTAGAATTATTTTCAGGTAGGTGTGGGCACTAACCTTTGGGCCAAAATCTGCATTGCGTGGCTGTTAAGGGAAACCTACCCTGAGCTTAAACAGACCAGAGTGTCAGTCCTGGAGAGAAAGAACCTTCTTGTTCTGTTTTCTGCTGCCTCTCCATTGCACAGAACAGGGCCTGGCACACACTAGGGTCTCCACAAACACACGTGAAGTGACTGTTGATAAGTGAACCACTTGCAGTGAAGATTTGAGACACCCTGACTATACCACATCTCTGCACAAGTACTCCGGCTCTTGTGCCAAACACAAAAGTCCTCAGGCTCGGTGCCCTGCCCTTCAAGCTGCAGCACAGAGGCACGGCTGCCTCTGCGGGCCTGGGGACACACCGGCAGGGCGGCGCCAAGGGCACGAGGCAAGGCCTCTACCACCCCCTCTGTCAGCACTTTGCGAGGAGTATGCTCCGAGGCCACGAGAAAGGCTGTTTACTTACTGCATCTTGGAGAATTACAACTTATATGAGCATGTCACACATGACAAGCCCTCAGACACCCTTCAGGAAAGAAGTCTATTTGTGCATGGGAAATTTTGGCAATTATACCTGTCTCTGTCAGAACTGCTACCCTAGGTCTTACGGCAATGTTCCACAGATTGCCAAGAAATCCCAGCTTAGCATCTGCTGGCTCAGCCTAAGAGCGGGGGGGACGTGGAGACAGCAGAGAGGGTCCCATCCTTGACCGCCCTGTCCAGTTCAGCCAATTGTGATCAGGTTTCTACTCTTAGGTATAAATGGAAGACATAAAGCTAACTAATAAATAGTTGGTCCCCCCACCACCCCCAAGCAATTTAAAAAGTATCGTTGTCTTAATAAATGCCAGCTCTGGCTGATCGGGGTGGGCTGCGCCGGCCCTTGTGTTGAGAAGGATTCTGAGGCTGAGTAGAAAGCGGCTGTGGCGATTACTGGAGGCCCCGGAGCACCACGCCCTACCGTTGGTGGTGCTCGAACTGGTGGTGCCCGGCTTGTTCACTGTGCAACCCAAGAGCACATCATCCGTTCTCTGCATGCAACTACCCTCTCGAGACGGCAAGGCCACACTGCAGCCTGACTCGGAAATCGGTGATGACGCAACAGGCCCTGAGCACTGTGCTTAACAGTGTCTACCGGGGTTGTGAGTACACCAAGGCTGTGTGGTGCTGAGGTTTTGCCTCCCACAAGTTCCACCAGTTAGAGCGAAGGCCCCAGACCCTCCCGGCACCCACGCAGCTCAGTGCCATTTCTCAGGACAGCGCACACCCTTTCCAAATGATTACATTGTTGGAAAGTTGAAAACTGAGGACCCAGGCCACCCCCTTGCTGCCTCCCCGCCAGCAGCACTGAGTTGCCCCCTCCCGAGGCCTCACCCCACCTGTAAAGCGGAAGGATGCTGCCAGCCTGACCACGGGCAGGGCTGGTGGACACTGGCCGTAAGACACAGAAGTTCTGGCGGAGCCTGGGATCCTAGCGAAATGTAACCTTAGTTTTAACATGACCGTCCACAGATAAAGATGTTTGTTATCATGGCTGGGGCCCCGGCAGGTGTTCCTGGAGCAATCCAACCATGCCGTTCTTGTCAGAGCCCCAAATGCAGAGCTGCCCGTTGAAGAACTGATGAGCTGAAATCACCCTGACTCCTGCTTTCAAGCCTCATCCCCAGGCCAAACCAGACTGGGCCCCGCAAGGCCGCCCCAACCACCCAACCCCCAACGAGTTACTCCCTGGAGCGTTCAACCACTTAGAGGGTCTGACTCCAAAAACAAAAACGCATCCCCCAGCAAATTAAAACCATCCATTTGCCACATCTTATTACCAAACCATGTGGAATGCAAAGGAGCATAAATAATGAGCCTCTTGGTGGTGGGGAAGGCTTACATTTTATTCCAGGCGCCAGGCCACTGAGGAACCGCACAGCGCTGTGTGCGTCTCATCCAGACAGCAGTGCGTGGAGCCGGTAATAACTCAAGGTCTTTTATCACCGTGTGTCCTCAGGCTAGGCATCAGATGGGAAAAACACTCTTGAAACAAAATTAAATAGTTTTAGATCTAATTTTACCAGGCTGAACTAGGTTGCAGATTGATTTTCAGGGAATCTAATAGAGAACAGCACACGCATTGCCGGCCTTACAGAAAAATCCATCCACCACACTGCTTTCCACTCACGCTGCTGTTCACGGGAAGTAATAAGAAACTAATATTTCACAAGGTGGTGTGTTTTGTCCTGTAAACCGCCTTTCATACTGAAGGCGCCTGACCAGCCGCCGGGGCAGGTCTGCTCAAATGCCTGTTCGTGTGGATGCCGTGGACTGCGGCCAGCTTCGCTGCTGCCCCTCCGGGTGGAGAAGCCTGGGGGTCAGCACTGGGGACCTCCCATCTCTCCATCCCCGTCTACCATCATCCCCACGTCACCACCACGAGCCCATGTCCGGCTGATCCACACTCCGGTCCCTCAGCTCTCTAAGCTGTCACCTCTGCCTGGCACACGCCACACGTCACACGTACTCTTTTCCATTCATTTTTCCTCTTATCCAAACCAGCTAAGTTCACTGCTCCTACTCTTCCCATCCTTCAGAGCCAACCAGAACCAGAAGCGGGACACACTGCCGTGCTAGCCTCTCTGTGGGGACACGGGCAGTGTGCAGCCGTGGCCATGGCCACTCCACCCAGTACGTGGACGAATGCAGCTGCCTCCTGGGTGCACCCCTGTTTGTATGGTGCTCCCGAAGGGTAGACCTACCTGTTTTTCTCTCTTTCATTTTGTCACCACTTTCAGTCCTGATTACATGACAGCGATAGATCTTACCTGGTGAGTCACTTCCCAGTTTTCTCAATGACAGGCGTTCAGGCGGGTGCACTTCCAAATAATGTCACAAAACCCCTGAACACGTAAAAGCTGATATTTACAGTCAATCTTGGGGCCCAATTTATCCACCCACACAGCAGGACAGTGACAACATCCTTCTGTGATCTCCGAGAGGAGGAGACCCAAACAGCAGGGTGAGGTGACCCCGTTCCTTGCCCAGAGTTCAATCAGAAAGGAGGGGCATGCTGCACTGTGGGGAAAACCAGGAGCGGAGGAAAAGGACACTGGTCCCCAACGTTCTGTCCAAATCCCATTCGACTGTCGCCCACCCGCCCTGAGACGTGGTCCCATCTGTACGTGGCTGGTCTTCTCCGCCCTCAGGTGACGGCAGCTGAATGAGAGTGGACAGAGCGCCCCTGGGCGGCCCTCCTCCCTCTCCTGAACTATAACCACCAGCCCACCGAAATCGTGAAGACACAAGGGCCCTGGAACAGCGAGCGGACTCCTCCGAGACTGCATTTGGGAGGTTGGGACTTTTGTAGCGTTTGCAGATCGGCATCCACCCCCAGCAAGACAGAATCCCCGGAAACCAATGACTGGGAACCTTCTTAATTCATTCTAATCATTTCTCCTGTGCCTCACATTTATCTTTAATTTATGCAGGGAAAACTCCTAGTGCCCTGCTGAATGTTAAACCTGCACTGGGTTCTTTTTTTTTTATCATCACCCAAGGACATTTTTCCATTTTTTGTTCAGATAGAGTGGGAGGGAGGGAGAGGAAGAGAGAGAGAGAAACATCGATGTGAAAGGGACACATCGAGTGGCTGCCACCTGCATGACCCAACCAGGGCCGGGGACAAACTGCAACCGAGGTACATGCCCTTATCAGGAACCGAACCCGGGTCTCTCGGGACCGCAGGCCAAGGCTCTAACCGCTGAGCCAAACCGGCCAGGGCTGCACTGGATTCCGAGGGAAGATTTTCTGAGGAAATTGTGCCTGGCGTGCATTCCTGGTGTTACCTAGAAGGTGCTCCTCTGGTTCTGCAGCCGCTTGTACTCCGCTGAGTCCCCAAGGACAGTACTACCTGTTTTCCTGTGAGCTAGACTGTTGCAGGCTCTGCTGCTGACCGAGAGAGAAAGCGCTTCTTCCCAGGGGTGCACATGGCCTGAGCATCACAGGGAGAGCAAAATCTCTCCACCACCTAGCCCAGCGCCCGAAAGTCCACCGCGAACACTGTATTACTTGTATAATCCATTGTTCCATATTCTATTTCAAATATTTCAAGGAAAGAACAGAAAATTAATATGTTTTGTGGTTGCTTTACCTACATCCCAGAACTGGGTTCTGAAGGTCTTAGGGAAAACAAGGAAGGTTAATCTGGGATTGGGGCTGGGAAGCTCGTGGAGGGGACTGTGGTGCCACTCTGCTGGGGGAGAGGCGCATCGTGCTGGGAACACGTCAGCACAAAGCAGTAGCGTGTTTAAAACAGGAGATGGGAGCCCTGGCTGGTTTGGCTCAGCAGTTGGAGCTTCAGCCTGTGGTCCAGAGAGACCTGGGTTCAGTTCCCGCTAAGGGCACGTACCTCGGTTGCAGTTTGTCCCCGGCCCTGGTTGGGTTGTACAGGTGGCAGCCACTCAATGTGTCCCTTTTGTGTCAATGTTTTTCTCTCTCTCTCTCTCTCTCCCTCCCACTCTGTCTGAACAAAATATGGAAGAATGTCCTCGGGTGAGGATAAAAAATTAATTAATTAATTAATTTAATTTAATGTTTTTTAAAAAAGGAGATGGGAGAGACAAAGAGACCAAGTTGTTTAATTGAAGGTCAGAGGTCTTCAGCAGCATTCATTCAGTCATTCAAAAAACATTTTGAGCATCTGCTCTGTGCCCGGCAGTACCGCAGACATGGACACGGTCGCAGCTATGAAAGCAGATGGAACACCTGCACACGTGAAGTCTCTGCTCTGTTCGGGAGAACTGGACAGCTGGGCGAGTCTGACACAATGCTGAAAACGACCATACAGGCTGTGCAGGAAAGAAGGCAAGGACGGGGCGTTCTAGGCTGTTCTAGACTGTTCTGGGCTGTTCTAGACTGTTCTAGGCTGTTCTAGATCCTGGGGCACAGTAAGTGCTCACAAATCTTCACTGAATAAACAAATGATGGAAAGAATGAATGACAGGCTGTTTCCACTGTGGGTCTTAGCAACTCAAACTGATCAGGGACTGTGCTTGGCGTGAAGGGTCGATACCCAGCTGTGGCACAGGGGTCGGTGTGGATCGGGGGCCAGGAATGAAGGGATCCTCTCGACGTTCTGCAGGACCTGGTGTTTGCCAACATGTGTGAAGCCATCACACACAAATATGAATATCATCACACACATTGCAACAGCAGAGGCTGTTTGTGGATCTTGTGGTCACCCTCCGGTCAGCCTCCGGGAAGATGATTTAGCAGCACTCGCCTGGCCTGAGATGGCTGTGTGAATAAACCAGTCTACTAGGGATCTTAACAATAATAAACATGGTTTTCATACATTAGCCAGGAGCTCCATTCTAAACGGAAATAATTACATGTAGATTTTCAAGTTCAGATGCTTACACTTTGACCTGCTCTCTGCACGATGACTTATGTGACCAGTGTTCTATTTTTGGTTCCAGAGTATCTAATTCCTATGAGAGGTGAGAAATCAGCACGTCTTAAACAGCACCGAAGGACACATTAGTGTTGACAACAGGGCTGGACAAAGTCAATGGAGGACAGGATAGCGTGCTGGAGGCTCTGTGATATCTTCTTTCTAGTTGTGAAATGAGCCCACCTCAATACCTTAAATGATAAGAGTAATGCTAGAAAACAAAGTAAAAAACACACTAGATCCAGTGGCCCTCAGGAATGCTAGAGGCAATAAACATCCCTGAAAACCCAGCAGGCTGAAGGGAACCATTGCATCCGCGGAGATGTGTGAGGTTAATCCGTGACCGCCCGCCACGGCTCACCGTACTGAGTGTGCGTCACATGTCAGGCACATGCTGCGTCCCCTCCTCATCTCACTGAATTCTCACACAGCCCTGTGGGATGATGATGATGATGATACATAACAGATAGGCGGTCACTGCAGAAACCCACATGAGGGCAGACACGGCAAGAGCGGCGTGGGAAGTAAGAAACAGCCAGGAGGTACAGTGTGGAGGCTTGGAAACCCACTAAATATGGGGAGAAAGGGAAACAGGTGAGTCATTTAATACCTGGGGGATGATATTAAATGGGTCAGAGAAACCCTGGGTAGGCTAGTTCCTGTTTTGAGCAGATGGACTCAGAAATGCCTCTAAACACAATCCAG